TATATATATATATGTATGTATCATATGATGCTCTCCAGAACATTATCAATTTCCCCTAAGCTTTCAATTTGATATGGAATCATCTTCAGGGAAAGAAATCTTATGCAAAATGCCTGCTTCACAATTCAAGTCTGTATGTTTGGTGTCTTATCATCAGCCTATTAATCCGTTGATTATGGATATTCGTAATCTTCAATATTATGCCCAGTATATAGAGAACTAACATGATTACATGCACACACACACACACACACACACACTTATATATATATATATATATATATATATATATATATATATATATATATATATATATATATATATATGTATATGTTATGATAGGCCTTGTTCTGACCCACTCACTATAATATGACTAAATCAGCAAACCGTTGTGTATCTGTGGAGGCTCCATTCTTGGTTGAACTGATTACTTTTCAATAATCACACACACACACACACATGCATACACACACATATATATATAATTTTATATTAACAGAAATTTATTATATATATATATTTTAAGACATTTTTATTTTTAACATTATTTTTATAGATACAAATATTTAAGTAAATGCAGTATTAAATAACATTTACCAGCCTGAATGTCCGAGAAATTTTCATAGAAAATATTCGTCCCCACTTTATGAAATATTCGTCACACATTATGAAATTATAATTGTTGGACTTTGTCCATTTCATAATGTGTGACATAATTTGCTTACATTTGATACACCATGAGCAGACATGAATGTACGTGAGAGATTCATGGATGATTGAAGTTTAAAAGCAGTGAATTCGACCTTGCTAACCGATCAATCCTCTGTGGCGAAATCGGTAAAAGCACATCAGGTTATATGACAGTTCTGTATAGGATACAGGTTCGAATCCCGTTGGAGGATGAATATTTTCTATGAAAATTTCTTGGACATTCAGGCCGGTAAATGTTATCTAATACTGTTTATTATAAACAGAGCATTTACTTAAATAATTGTATCTATAAAAAGAATGTTAAACATAAAATGTCTTAAAATAATTGTCGGATTTTGTTCATTTCATAATATATATATATATATATATATATATATATATCTTATATTAACATAAATCATTATATACAGATATGTACGTATATATTTTATATTAACATAAATTTATTATATAGATATATGTATATACATATTTTATATTAATATAAATTATATATATATATATATATATATATATATATATATATATATATATATATCATATTAACATAAATTTATTATATATATACATAGGTCTGTGTGTGAGTGTATTTATGTATATGTATATATGCACACATAACACAAAATGAAAATAGATCAATATATAATAATTTTGTAAGCATTAAATTTATGTTAATATAAATATTCTTTTGAACCTTTTAAAATTTGTTTGTGTTAATTGAGCTGAAATTGCAAAAGAAAACATATTGTTAAAATGATTTCAATCATGTAAATTTAATTCAAGTAGACTAATGACCAGTAGACCTGAGGTTGTCAAGGTGGAGTAATGTATAGCAGCTCAGATTGAGGAATCAAAGAACCAAGTTCAAATTCCAGTCAAATCCAGTACAGTCCCTTATGTGCTAATAACCTTGGGAAAGATATGAATCCTCTTCTACTCCCTCCAGCTATAGGTAAATAGCAGGACAGATTGCGTTCTTTAGTCTTGGGTTGCAACTGGTCTACTGCAGAAAGAAAAGGCAACCTATTGCAGGAAAAAATCTGCCTAGTCAGTCATGTATCAAAAGATACATGATTGGCTAAGCGGGTATCACACATGGCAATAACTGACTGACTGAGGTTTGGAAAAGAGAAAGGGATAAAAACAGATGGTATTTGATTTTTACTGGTTTTGGCCTATAACAAAAGATTGAGGACTGAAAAGGCAGATATTCTTTTTGAAGTGTTATTTTAGTTAGGTCATAAATTACTCTAAATAAATAAAAAAAAAACTTGTAGAATAGGTACTTTTTCTAAGCATTTAAATTATTTTTATCATTTGAAAATATAAAACTTATGAAAGAGTTGTGTTTTGCAATGAAACTGTTTTATATTTATACACCTATATATATGTATATATAGTTGCAGAATGAATAGTCACAAATATATCTGTTTAGATATCATTTTAGAATGTTTTTGAAAGCCAGACATTTCTAAGAATTGGTCTTAGAATTTACAGCAATTCTAGGAGGCCTTCCTGTTTGGAGTCATTGCTTTTGGCAAAATAACATTCAATCCCAAGTTAAAATTTCTAATTCTTTTGTTTGTGCCTCTCTGCTTCCACAATTTTCTATTGTAAGAAATTTTGTCTTTTATATTTGGGATTCTAGGTTTCCAAGTGGCGGGAGAAAAAGTATGAACAGATGATTCTCGAAATAAAGCTTCAAGAAGAGAAACAGAAAAAAGAGCAACAAAATTTGCATTTGGCATTGGAGAAGAAGAAACAAGAAAGAGATATTAATAAACAAAAGGTGAGATGTTTGGGCTTTTAAAAACAGAAAGAACATAGGTAAGTACATGTAATATTGGAAATAGATATACAAGTCTATGCATTCCATTCTTTCTTTTATGTGCCATGTCTCTACAGGACATACACGATAGTGGCTCTCCACCACCTCCTGTCACTTGTAGATCTCAAGTTTTGTCTTTTTGACAGAACCTATTCTGCCATCCACTTGCCCATTAAGTATGTCATGCATTGCTTTCCCTTGTCCCTCTTTATCTGTCCTGTGTGTATTAGATTTTCCAAGACTACCTTTCTCATTATGTGTCCCAGAAATTTCAGCTGCCTCTTTCTGATGTTAACTATAAGTTTCCTCTTTGTTTGCATCCTCACCAAAACCGCATCATTGCTCACATGTTCGGTCCATAGTATCCTTAGCATCTTTCTGCAGAACCACACCTCTGTTGCATCAAGTCTTTTATTATCCAGCATTTGCTGCCATGTAGCAGTTCAGTACTATTTTCTTTGTTATCAATGAAAAACTCCTGTTTTGTAATACTCTGCATAGCTTTTGGAATGCATCTTTGCCATCCCAATACAGCTTTGATTCAAAGACATCACACTTTTCCTCCTTTGTTAGATATTTAAACTTTTGCATCTGCTTGATTATAGTGTCTCCTACCTGTAAATTACATTTTGGGCAAAAAAATATTTTTGCATGTAGAGTGTTGATGAGAATGACAGTTTTTGGTAGTCACTGAAGGGCATTGTCCTGAAAAAGACAGTTTATTGCATATCATTGCTGCTGGCAAGGATAGCTGGAGATGAGTAGAGTGGCAGCCAATGGTAAACTGGAGACAATGACCGGCTAGCTAAACCTGGTGCTGATAACAGGAAATGTGGGCTAGTTGTCAGCTGCTGGAACATATACTACACTTTGATCCTCGTCATCTGGACCACAAAACAATATTTTTATCTTTTTGCTTGGAAGTCTTTTTATATCCTAGATCAGTTTTACAATAATTACTGGTTAAGCTTGTTTCTCTCTGTTGTTTTTAAAAAAATGTGGGTGTGCTGACAGGATCTGATAAAAGCAAATTAATGTTTGTTTATCACACACAGGGCAATCTATTGTTTATACTAAATCTATGCTGAGCAGACTACAGTTAAGGATTATGGGAGAATACATAATTTGGCGTGATCAACAAATTGAAGAAGTATGCTCAAACCCTCAGTCATGGTGACTTGTGACTTCATGCTAGCATGATCATTGATGACCTCTGAGCAGTTTCATCTAGCCAGTTTTACTCAGAAGGCATGAGTCAACCCATGTTATGTTTTCAGGCACTTCACAATGGTGTGGCATGTTGAGATCATCTCTTTAGACTGATATTAAAGAAGTCATCTTGACAAATCAATCATGGTGTGATTTGAACCCAGGTCTCATGATCAAAATGATAACATTCTAACTACTCAGCTATGTAACCACACCCGTGTATACAGATAGGTATAAAGATATATGTGCATGAATAATGTCCCTATATGTGTATGCATGCATGTCTATATAAAGACAAAACTCCCTTGAAGGTCATTGTGTTCTGAAAGCATAGTTTTATTAAGAGTCCAGCCCAACTAAAAGAGAAAGGAAGTCAATGTAATTTTTTCCTTTGAAGATAACTCAACAAAAAAGTAAAAGAAAAATGAAGCCTCAGAACTGACAAAATCTGGCTTGAGCTTCAGAAAAATGTTTTTGTTTGAATCCCATCATGCTTTACCATTCCCTCTCAGGTATGACATAAAAGAAGAAGAAGAAGAAGAAGATGGCAGGATAATAAAACATCACATGTCCCTATTAAGATTATAACAAGGGAGCTCTGTGCTCAGCAGGTTAAAATAAAAATGCAGAAAAAAAATGTGGTTTGAAGAACAGATGTAAATCTTTTTAAGATGAAGACAAAGAATCCTGGAGAAGAGATTCAAAAGGAAACCCAAAAACGCCATTTTGATATCCTAAAGTTAAGAAAATATTGAATCTAACAAAGCATAGTTAACAGGTTTCTTCTGGTAAAGCATCCTGAGTTGCTGGTTTTTCACTTGTCTAATTCTCCAAGAAAAGTTTTGGATTCTTCTGAGATGCTTCCTGAATTGAATAAACATTTTAACATGCTTTCACTTTGTAGATTTAACTTTTAATCTTGTTCTGTTTTATCCTCTCAGCATTTTAACCCATTTACTGCCAATTAGAAATCCTTGTTAAATCTGTGTTATGCATGTTATTTTCTGTGATGGTTTTTTAATCATTTCATCCACAGCAAGGCAATAAAGCCACTAAGATGCAAGAGGGTACTGCATGTGAGAGAATATAAGAAAAAGAAAAATTATTAAGGAGGCAGAAAAAATAAAATAACAGAAAGACAGGAGGAAAGTTTCACAAGTTAGCACAGAAATTATTTCAGCTGTAAAGTGGTGAGACCTAGCTGCCAATCTAGTATTGCACTTAAATTCATAAAATCTAGAAAATTAAAGAAATTAAATTCATAAATATTACAAAAGAATTTTTAGCTGAGAAAATGGCGAACAGAATATTAGAAAAGTAATTTTCAGAAATTAATTTCAAAAGCATGTAAAAAACAGGCAAAAATGAAAATAATTTGAAGAACTTACAGCATTTAATCAATGCTATAAAATAGTCATTTTCACTAAAAAAAAGAAAAAAAGATAAGATTAAGCAGAATATCTGTATAATTACTATATATTTTCAATTTGAAAGAAAAAAAGATATGTTCTTTTATTTTGCTCTCTCATTAATAATGTTTTCTTTTTCTTATATTCTCTCACAATCAGTACACTTACAGCTTAGTGGCTTTATTGCCTTGCTTCAGGGTGAAATAATTAAAAATAAAATTAGACTAAAAGAAATTACTGAAAAATATGTGCATTTCTTATACTTATTTCCACTGAGCTTCTTTGTAGAAAAATAAGGCAAGAATGTATTGAGATTGGGACAAATAATTAACAGGTAACAGATTGTTCTCCTAACAATTAAGGGGGAACAAGCAGAAAGGGAGAGAGATGGGAAGAAATAAAAAGTAATAATCATGAAGAGTGAGGCCACTGCCTCAAAAACCTCAGTACAGTGGGCAGTACGTAATTTCTAGAAGAAAATATGCCAAGGTAACATTTTTATAAGATACTGAATCTCTAACAATAGCAAAGTGAGTCACACTGGATTTCACATCACTTTTTATTGCCGATTGTTAATAAGGAACTGGATCTGGATAAGTTTCAGAGAGGCTCATATTTGGATATGCCAAGCTGTTCTGCTGCTAATGGTGAAAGCCCAGATGTGACTGATTTTGACAGACATGCCCATATGCAACTTGGGCCATCTTTTGTGTCTGTATTGATATGCATCCACCACACTCCTCCCTGGTCTCCTGATCACTAATGTGGCACAGTAAGTCTCTCCCATTAAGTGCTTCTCCAAAGCAGAGCTGGTTCATGTTCCTCCACCTCATTCTCATGGGATTCTTCCTACATAGGATCATCTGGACTATCCATGGTTATGAGAATTCTCTCCTCACTTTCGACATAAGATCCTAACTGCTTGTTGAAGACAGTGTGCTCAGGAAAAGGATGGAGATTCCTGACATGGCATGGCATTCTGCCTACTAAGACTGATTGTAGACTAACCATTCCATTAATTTTTCCCTTTCTGAAAATTGTTGTATACAAATTGTGTGGGGCATTTACCCACACAGGGTCTCCCACCTTGTACACTTTGTGGCCTACCTCAAACCTCATTGGAGGTACTGAATCAATCCCTTTAAGCCAAATATCATATTTGTAGAATTGATTTGTGACACTGTTCTGTTATTCCATTTCTTGCCAAGACATATGTATGTTGAAATCCTAAATGCATGCCCCATCCTTTGGAAAAGGCTTAAACACCCTGATGTAGAATGTGATATAATTGTCTGTAAGTAGCTAAGTCCCTTCTAACAGAAGGCGAACTCCAGCAACTGTATGATAGTCAATCAGTCGTGGTTGTGTAATGGCCAACACTCAGAAAAGCGTGACTGTTTACTTATAGTCTAACCTTTTGCCAATGGCCTGATGCAGGGTCTATTTATGTGCCTTCCACACAGGTCCTAATGGCTGACTTTTGATCACCTTTGACATAGAAGTTTAGAATCTCTTCAAAAAATAGATGCTACACCACATTCCTGGATGCTCACTGCATTGATGTACTTCCATTATCTGATTTGGATATTTTGTCCAGGGAAGCAGCATTTACCTACTGCACAGGTTCAGCCTAATTTTCAGCAACATCGAGCCACCTTTGGTCTATGCAGATTATCTTGTCTGCCAAGTTTTGGTTTGACATGAGCAGGATCATGTCAACAGACAACTTGTATTCTTGGACCAGTGCTGTCATCAAACTTCATCGCACCAGCATCTCATTCTCTGTTTTGGTATGAATGTGCAATCTCTTTACCTTACCCTCGAGGGCCAATTTGGGACATTTGATTGTTGCATCCAGCTCAGCCATGTTGATAGATTTGGTATTATTTGTTCTTTTTTTTTTTTGTCAATTTTTTTCATTTTTTTTCCAGCACCACTCCTATCATTAGGAAGCTTGTATTGATGCATATGTTGATTTCAGATCCATTCACACAGCAGTCACACTGTGTATGATCTTCCTGTTGCACTCTATCTATCATCAATTTGGTCATTCTGCCCCTTTGTGACCATGCTTACCCACTGCTTGATGAACCCAGTCACCACATGCAGCCATACACACACAGGAAGAGGTCCCACTAGTTTCCCACACAGTGAGAAGACATTCTGCCAAGTCCTGACATGAGGGACATCTGGGATTCTGCTTCCCTGTATCCAAGGCAGTGTTATGCTCCCCTAGAATTTAAGTCTGAGCATGCAAGCTCTATCCTTCAAAGATTCTAGGTTTTTTGGTTATCTGGGTCCTCTGGGACCAACAAATCACAATCACATTAGGCAGAACTGCTT